TGTCATACCATCCGACACGATGTTTCACTTTCGATCCGAAGTTGTCCAGCGGGTCGATATTTTGATACGAACGTTTGTTCATCAGCTGCAGCAGCTTCAGGAGGGGAAGAAATACACAGACACAATTAATCGTCGATTCCCAGGAAAATATGAGAAAATGTGGGAAGTGGGGCGGAAGGCAGAAACCCCAAAAAATATAAGAAAATATGGGGACTCCTGTTGTTTGTGTGTATTTCTTTGTGTGTCCCAGGGTCCCTTCACAGCTGCAAGGGAAAAGTGGAGGCCCCGAGGCGCTGTCCACGGCATCCTCGGAAGCCCACGGTGCGACAGGTGTTGTGGCCGCGGAGGCGACACCCAGCACCGTGGGCCACGGGCTACGCGCCGCACCCAAGACCGCTGGCCCCAGGCCAGATCGGGGGACCAGAGACCCAGCTCGAGTAAAACGACGCGAAGAGCGGGAACAAATCAGATCGGGATAATTCGAAATCTCTGAGAATCGGCGGGTTTGGAGGATGCATTGGGCGCCGCGGCCGCTCCAGAGCGTTCCAGAACGCTCTGAGAGCGCTCCGGAACGCTCTGGAGCGATTTATCCCGATCCTAGCCCTGTTTTACCAGAGAGCCAGCTCGAGACAAGCGGCGACAACCGCTGCGTTGACCTCACGTGGGATCCGCAGTTCGTCCCATCGTCGATCCGACGGCCGCGGCAGGTGTTCATCCATGTTTTTTGGGGGACAGGATCGAGGACCCCGAGGGCCAGACTGAGGAGTCCATGAGCCACGCCACAACTTTTTGTGCCTCGGCGCAGAAGAAGGAGCTGTCGAAGCCCTTCCAGACGAGCTATGTCGACGCATCGCTCGCAGAGTTCACTGCCTTCGCCAACTTCATGAACAGGCATCCGCGCCGCAGCGACACCTTCAGAGATCACCGAGCCGCCTCCGAGTGGGGCACGTTCGACATCGACGCGCAGGCTGACTGGATCCCAGCCAACCCGCGGACAGTCTTCCCTGCGGACGCGCCTTGGGCGTTGATCTTCTCTGGCGGCGCCGAGCGGACACGGATGTGATGAGCCAGCATGTCCACCGACAGCTTCTGACCGCCCTTCCCTTCCCCCTACCGAATCCGTCCTCTCCTCCTCCTCCTCCTCCTCCTCCTCCTCCTCCTCCTCCTCCTCCTCCTCCTCCTCCTCCTCCTCCTCCACTGTTTGCCTGGCGAGGTTCCTCCCCTTCCTCTGGCGATGACTCCCCCTGCTGTTGGCAGGGCGGCCCACGGCGCCAGCAGCTCGAAAAAGGGGCCACGGGGGCCCAGGCTGCGCGGCGTGCCCCGCAGCCGCTCCCCCACGTATCGTTGCGGCCCGCTGCCGCCGCCACGCCTGCCCAGAGAGGGACCTCGGCCACAGTAGGGGGCCACATGCGAACCCTACCCCTACCCCCCACGATTTCTGAGGGGGAGGGTGGGGTTCACTCCTCTCGCGAGCTCCCGAACGAAGTGAACCCCACCCTCCCCCCCAGAACTCGTGGGGGGTAGGGGTAGGGTTCGCATGTGGCCCTCTACACAGGCTGCCCATGGCTACGGCCAGGGTGGCCGCGGCCGCAAGACAGTCGATGAAGGCACCGCGGCCGCCGCCCCGCGCAAGGCTGTCTCCCACCGCGGCGGCCGCTGGAGGTGGCGGAAGCGGGGGGGGTCCCAGATCAGGATCGTGCGACATAGGGATCGGGGCGCCTGGTTCGGGCAATCTTTTCACGCGGCCAGACCCTCACTCTGCGCCCTCGTTTTCTCGCCTTCACATCCCGCAAGGGCGCCGATGAGCACCATTCCCGCGCAGAGGAGCGACGCGAGGCAAGGCCGCATCCAGCCCCCCTCTTCCTTGTCCCATTCCATCTCATCATTATCGCTCCTTCTCCCTGCCCGTCTTCCCCACCAGCAGCGCCGCCCTGCACGCAAGCTGCCACTGGCAGCAAGCCAACCCGCTGCCGCTGCCACGGCTGCCCAGAGAGAAGGAGCTTGGCCACAGGCTGCCCATGGCTAGGGCCAGAGTTGCCGCGGCCCCAAGACAGCCGATGAAGACACCGCGGTGCAAGATTGCCCACGGCGGCCGTCGCTGGAGGTGGATGTGGAGGGGGTGCCCGGATCGTGCGATATAGGGGTCGGGACGCCCATTCAGCCAGCCTCTACGCGGCCAGACCCTCACTCTTCGCCCCCTTGTTCTCGCCATCATTCTCGCCCCATCTTCCTCTCCCTCTCCCCCGCCAGCAGCGCCGCCCTGCACGCAAGCTGCCACGGGCAGCAGACCAACCCTCTGCCGCTGCCACGGCTGCCCAGAGGAGGAACTACGGAGCTCGGCCACGAGCTGCCCACGGCCAGGGCCAGAGTTGCCGCGGCCCCGAGACAGCCGATGAGGGCACCAAGGTGCAAGACTGTCGACCGCGGCCGCCGGTGGAGCTGGATGTGGGGGGGGAGGACGGGGAGGAGGTAGCTCACGGCGAGGCTATACGAACAGGAGCTGCAGGAGCGACAGTAACCACAGGGCCGGTGATGCAGCCAAAGCTCCCTTAGAGAACCCCCCCTCTTTGCGTCGGTTCCCGACGGGGGCGTCGGCTGTGTTTGGCGTCCCTTTCCCTCCCCTCGCCCCCCTCATCCGTCGTGCCTGCCGCTCCCCTTGGCTCCTCCTTCCTCCCTCTCTCCTCCTCCTCCTCCTCCTCCTCCTCCTCCTCCTCCTCCTCCTCCTCTCCTCCTCCTCCTCCTCCTCCTCCTCCTCCTCCTCCTCCTCCTCCTCCTCCTCCCTTCTCTGTTGTCCTCCTGTTGCTCCTCCTCGTGTCGCCCCTCCGTCGGTCTCCCTCTCCTCCAGGGCCCCTCCCTCTCTCGGTCGGTGGGCCACGTCATTCAACGCCCGCTCAGCCCTCGGGGACTGAGCTGGGTGTGGCAGCGTCAGTGCGACGCTATTGCCATCAGGAGGCAGGAAGTAGGAGGAGGAGGAGGAGGAGGAGGAGGAGGAGGAGAAGAACGACGACGACGAGGGGGAGGAGTAGGAAGGAGGAGGAGGAGGAGGAGGACGAGGACAAGGAGCACGAGGATAAGGAGCACGAGGAGGAGGAGGAGGAGGAGGAGGAGGAGGAGGAGGAGGAGGAAGAGGGCGGATAATCGGAGCGGAGGAGAGGAGCGACAACGAAGGGTAGGAGGAGAGGAGTAAGATTTTGTGGACGACGGAGTGGGATGAGTAGGAGGAGGAGGAGGAGGAGGAGGAGGAGGAGGAGGAGCAGGAGCAGGAGGAGGAGCAGGAGGAGCAGGAGGAGGAGGAGGAGCAGGAGGAGCAGGAGGAGCAGGACGGGCACCTGATCGTCGCCCCTGCTTGCCCGCAGTGGGCCAAGGGGAGAGAAAATTGCACTCTCGTCGCCACGTTGCGTCCCCCTTGCCGTGGCCCACCTGGTACCCCGCCAGGGCTCGGGCGGGGACGCGGGTCGCCTGCGGGCGGCTCATCGGGGGATCCCCGCCCGGGTCGGCCGGGGGAGCGGCGCCCCTCGGCTGGCTTGGGGCGGCACGGGGGGGGCCGTTATCTGAGCCTTGCGGGGCGGGCGCGGCCTGAAAAACTGGTTGTAGGCTGCGAGGCCTGTTCCCCCCCAGCTGTCTTGTCTCATCTGCTTGTGCTGTTTCTGCTCGGTCGCGCTTCGCCTCAGCAGGCTCCCGGCCGCGCGCGCGCGCAGTTGGGTGGGCACCGAGTGAGAACCTTCGTGCGCTCCTTGGCGCGTGCGTCGCCAGGCAGGTGAGTGGTTGGGTCGTGCATTTGGACGAGCGGCGCGCCAAAGTGCGTGCTGCCGGGTGTTTCTAGGCGCGCGTGTTCGCGCATTGTGTCTGCCTCGCTCTGTGAAGCTGTGGGGCTGCACGGGGCGTCTCCCCGGTTCACCTACAGCATCGTGCAATGGGACCTCCGTTCGGCATGTCATCCTCCAGTTGGAGGGGCGGGTTTGTTTGCTGGCTGCCGAGTGTCACCGACTTCGGCCGCGTTGGGAAACAGAAACGGAAGAGGAGGAAAGAAACGTGGATGCGACCGAATAGACGATGCGTGGTTGCATTATGCCTGTTGGCCGCGGCCTCTACCGGATGGGGAGGGAGGAGCAGGAGGAGGAGGAGGAGGAGGAAGAAAACGGAGGAGTAGGAAAATAATGATGGCCAAACAAGAGCGACACAGGGTGATGAAAAAGAATGCGGAGGAGGAAGGGGGACGGGGGGTTCATGGAGGAGAACGTGGAGCAATGCGGTGGATGAGTTTCGATGGGGAGGAAGAGGGGGGAGGGGTTTGCGACGACAGGCAGGACCGGGATTCAGGCAGGAGGGGGCAATAGTTTTGACGAGGAACTATGCAAAGGAGGCGAAGAATGATGTGGATGGATTTGAGGGGTTATTGAAGGACGGGGATGGTAGGAAAGAAGAGATGAACGAATTGGCGAGGAGGATATGAAATTATGGGGGGGGAATCAGGAAAAGGACGTGAAAGGAAAAAGAGGGACCAGCAAAACGAGGACCATAATGCCACGTGAACAGATGATATAAAGACCGAGCTCCTGTGTTTGAGGGGGGTCGTCCACCTTGGGCCCAGGCGGACAGTTTTCCAGGATTTCCTGCCGTGGTACGGCAGACTCTACATATCCTGTTTCGGCCTCACCCGCCTACCGCTTCGACATCCTCCATATTATATTTCCTTCGCGCCCTCACATCATTACTATTATGCCTCTTCTGCTCCCTCCTCATCATGCATTATCATCATCAGTTTATCGTTGCCACCCCCTCCTCAGGAGGGAGGGCAGGAGGAGGGATCATGAAGACGACAGCGGCGGCGGCGACGACGACAACAATCACAGAAACGACGGCGAGGTCGCCGTCTGCGACGACGACCACGGCGACGACGCCAGCGGCGACGGCCACGTCGACTGCGACGGCGACGGCGAAGACGGGAGCGGCGGCGGACGGCGCGAGCGAGAGCGGCTGCGGCCGCGATGGCGCCCCAGGACTTGCTGCCGTGGTGCAGCAGCCTCTACCTGCACAGCTCCGACCTGCGGCTCTCGGTCGATGACCTCTCCAGGGACCCTTCGCCCGCACGCGCCGCGCCGGGGCCGCGCCCCCTCGGGCCACGCGGCCTCTCGCCTGCGTCGCGGCTGCCCTCGGCGCGGTCGCCGTCGCCTTGGGCGCGGCCGCCGTCGTGGTCGCCCTCGTCGACGCCGTCGTCATTGCCTTCGCCGTCGCCGCCGCCGTCGTCGTCGTCGTCGCCGTGGTCGTCGCCGCGCGCCGCCATGGCGGCCCGTCAAGAGGGCGGGAGAGCACAGACACTTGCTGCAGGCGCTGCACCCAGCGCGCTCCGCACGCCGAGGAGGGGGGGTGGGAGGGCCCAGCGGCGACCAGTTCCTCCCGCGCCGCCCCCGGAAGACGCCCGCGCCGCCCCCGAACGTCTATGTGCATGGAGGTGTTCGTGCTTTGCCCAAGGAGAGCCGAGCGGGGAGAGGGGCGAGCGAGCCCCTTCCTCATCCTCCTCCTCCTCGCACGGGGATCTCGATGTGCTCGGCCTTGCTGCCCCTCCCCCATGCATCCTCAGACACGCATCCTCCGCCGCATCCTCCGGTAATTCCCACGCGTTCCAGCTGAGGATCCCCATCCGGCTGGTCATTTTCCCGCATCTTCCTCATGATCCTTCACGGAGTTCCCCTCATTCTCCGCCTTCTTCCTGCTTCCTTTCCTCCCTCCCTCCACCTCCTCCTTGTCATCCCACCTCATGCGTAGCACCTCCTCGGCTCGCCTAGTACGTTCCCAGGACTGTGCCACAAGTGCGCGTCTACTTAAGAGCCGCCACGGACAGCAGCGTCGTGGTGATGAGCGCTGGCGTTCCCGCTTCGCGTTGCTCCTCACAGCCATTTGCTGAAGGTTACCTGTCGTGGAGGTATCCTGCATGTTCGGTGTGTTTGTTGTGATGTGTCTCTGCGGGCCACCCCCTGTGGGTCTTGCAGCGCGGCGGCAAAAGGCTGCGGCGTTGGCACTTGGCATGCTCAGTGGTTCGACCTGTGGCGTTTGACATGATGTTATGGCGCGCTGTGGCGCGACCTTCTCTTGTTCTTCTCTGTCGTGCGGTCTGCGTGCCCTCTGTCTTTGATAAATGTGAGCGCGCTTCCCCCTCCCTGTTTGGCGGATGAACAGACCCGCGGGTCGCGAAACCACTGCGCAGATCGCCCGCGGGGGTGGGGGGACCCCGCCACGGCTGGACACCACCAGTACTTTGGAACGGCGCGAGGCGCCCGAGCGGACGCGGACCTGCACGGTGCAGCGCGGCAGACGCGCGCGCGCTGTGCATGCGCACGCTCTCGCGCACGCGCGCGCACTGCCCGCCCTCCACTGGGATGGCGAGCCTGCACCGCTCGAGGCCCGAGATCTCTCTGCCTCCGCCCCTCCGCCTTCGGGCCCCGTCTGTGGCCACTTGGGCCTTAGTCGCCCTTGCTGCAGTGGAGGCGCTCTGCTGCCCTCCCGTCGATCGGCGGCGAGCCCGGAGGGGAAGCGAGAAGGAGAGGGCCTTCTCAGAACTCCTCCTCCTCCTCCTCCTCCTCCTCCTCCTCCTCCTCCTCCTCCTCCTCCTCCTCCTCCGGCTCGGAAGTCTCCCGGCCTTCTGAGAAGTGTTCGACGCCTTCCCGAAGGCACAGGAATCCTCACAGAAGGCTGGAGGGCTTCTGAGAAGGCTCCGCCGCCTTCTGAGAAGGGTTCCTCCTCTCACTCCCCACCTCGCTCGCCACACGTAATCGCCCCGCTGCAGCGGAGGCACTGATGCTCATCCGTTGGAGCCAAGCGGCGCTCTCGTCGCTCAATGCCGCCCTGCAGCGGGCAGCTGTGTGCCGGCGCTGATATGACTGGCGCCGCCGCGAGGCGTTTCTTGCCGTGCCAGCGCCCCGAATTGCTCGTGCTCGTCATACGCTTGTTTTGTTTATTTTTGCAAGTTGGCATCATTACACCCTCCGCGTTCGGTTGCGGTTGGCGGTCATTGGCACGGTTCAGCCTCCTCGTCGAATATGTCCGTGCAGTGGCCGATGGGCTCTGGCGCCCAGCAGAGCTCGCGTCGCAGCTCGTGGTCATGGGCGCGTGGGGGCTTGCCGTTCCACGCATTTCTGGTTTTTTCCAACACCCCCTTTGTGTCGGTGGACCAGGTCCCTGCGGTTTGGCGTGGGGGGCAAGGGCCTCGCCACCATACCTATTGACGGGCACGGAGCCTCGAATAGGGGTTCTTCACATTCGTCGCGGTGTTCATGTGCGTCGCGTAGCTTCTAGAGGAGTTTTGGGTGGGCCGTGGTTGAGCTATCGAGAGGCATGCTGCGGAGAATTAGCCTGGTGAAGGACCCAACCATGTGCAGTTGTGAGTACCGCAATTGTGATTATTTTCTTCGGTGGAGCTCCCTTTGGGGCCACGAAACGTGTGAGGGGTGTGCCGGCATGGGTGCGGCACTGGGGCCTTCGGTGGAGCTCCTTTTGGGGCCACGAAGCGTGTGAGGGAAGTGCGGAAATGAGTGTGGGGGGCGCATGCGGGCGGTGGCATTGGGGCCTTCGGAGGAGCTCCCCATGGTTGCCACGAAACGTGTGAGGGGTGTGCCGACACGGGTGTGTGGGGGACGCATGTGGACGGTGGCATTGGGGCCTTCGGAGGAGCTCTTTATGGGGCCACGAAGCGTGTGAGGCGTGTGCCGACATGGGTGTGGGGGACGCATGTGGACGGTGGCATTGGGGCCTTCGGTGGAGCTCCCTATGAGGCCACGGAACGTGTGAGGGTTGTGCCGAAATTAGTGTGGGGGACGCATGGGGCCTTCGGTGGAGCTCCCTCTGGGGCCACGAAACGTGTTAAGGGTGTACCGACATGGGTGTGGGGGACGCATGTGGACGGTGGCATTAGGGCTTTCGGTGGAGCTCCCTATGGGACCACGAAACGTGTGAGGCGTGTGCCGACATGGGTGCGGGGGACACATGTGGACGGTGGCACTGGGGCCTTCGGTGAAGCTCCCCCGCGAAACGTGTGAGGGGGGTGCCGAAATGGGTGCGGGGGAAGCATGTGGGCGGTAGCACTGGGGCCTTTGGTGGAGCTCCCTATGGGGCCACGAAACGTGTGAGGGGTGTGCCGAAATGAATGCGGGGGACGCATGTGGACGGTGGCACTAGGGCCTTCGGTGGAGCTCCCTATGGGGCCACGAAACGTGTGAGGGGTGTGCCGACACGGGTGTGGGGGACGCATGTGGATGTTGGCACTGGGGCCCTCGGTGAGCTCCTTATGGGGACACGAAACGTGTAAGGGGTGTGCCGAAATGGGTGTCGATGATGGTGACGATAACGGCGATGATGGTGATGATGACGATGGTGACGATGATGCTGATGATGCTGATGATGATGCGAACCATGATGAGAAGAGGGAGGAGGGGGAGGAGGAGAGGAGACGCGGGGCGCTGTCTCTTCAAAACGAGGACCCAACACCACAGGATGGTTGGGAAGAGTTGAGATTCCCCATCTTCTCCCACCTCTTCTCTCCCCCTGTTCTTCTCAACCTTTCATCCTTCGGATTTCTCCTCCCGCCCCACTCGTTTTGAGTACTTATTATTATTATTTTTCTTTTTCTTCTTTTTCTTATTCTTCTTCCTCAGCGCCTTTTCCTTCCTCATCCTTCTACATGCCCTACCCTCCTTCCTCTCCAAGATATTTCTTCCTCGCTCCTTCCTCATTATTATTATTCCTTTTATTATTATTATTATTATTATTATTATTATTATTGATAATCTGATTATCATTCTTCCTCAGCGCCTTTTCCGTCCTCATCCGTCTGCATGCCCTACCCTCCTTCCTCTCCAATGTATTTCTTCCTCGCTCCTTCCTCATTCTCATTCGTGCCTCCGCCCTCCCCCGCTGTCCCCTCTCCTCCGCCCAAATGTACGTCCGAGACGTCCGCGCGGATGTTTCGAGGGTGCAGCTATTTGGTGGCTCTCTGCACGAGCAGGGCGGGACGGCCGGAGGGGGACAGGAGGTTCAAACAGGGCTAATTAGGATCGGGATAGATCGCTCCAGAGCGCTCCGGAGCGCTCTCAGAGCGTTCCGGAACGCGCTGGAGCGGCCGCGGCGCCCAATACATCCTCCAAACCCGCCGTTTCTCAGAGATTTCGAGTTATCCCGGTCCGATTTTGTCCCGATCTTCGCGTCGTTTTGGAGGTGGTCCGGGAGGGCAGAAGACAGGAATGGCACGTCGCCATCGGGGGACCGTGAGCGCTTCAGCGTGGAGGCCCCCCGATGGCGTCTTGTCACCGGCTCGTGCAGCCGAGCGCACTGGAAGAACATCTCATCATCAGCATCATCATCATAACCAGCATCAGCATCAGCATCAGCATCACCAGCAGCAGCATCACCAGCATTATCAGCATCTTCATTATCATCATCATCAGCAGCAGCAGCATCAGCATCAGCATCATGATCACCATCATCAACATCATCACCATCATCATCATCATCATCATCATCATCATCATCATCATCATCATCACCAGCATTATCACCAGCAACAGCAGCGTAATCGAGCGCATCAGCGTGTTGCTCCCTCGCTGTTGTCCTTACAGCAGTAGCATGCTGATTGGTTCCCACCGGCGGCGTGTCATTGACATTATTTTCGCTCCCCCAGCCGGGGCCCGCCAGGGCTTAGCGGACGAAGAACGGCATAAGAAGGGGGCAGCGGGAAAGGTTACGCCCATGCGGTGGCACGTCAGGGTAATTATACAATTTCTAGCTGCCCGGTGGCAGTCCTCCCCGACGGCGGAGCAGTTTCTTGCAGAGGCCTCCAGCCTGCCCTGGGACGGTCTGGGGCGCTCCAGGCGAGATGACTCGACCACTGGAGTGAATTTCAGCGTCGCCCTAAAACAGAGACGCGGCAACCATCGTTGATACAATCCGCGCGGCCGGGAAGGGCGGTTGCCCTGGCGCCGCCGGGGATCGCCGGCAGAGGAGTGCATGATGCCAGGACCTCCTCCCTTCGGGAGACCAAGCCACCCCCAGCTTGGACCCCCCCCGGCAGAGGTGCGGCCCGCGAGTGGGGACCCTGACAGAGCTGTCTCCGGCCAAGCTTCCCTAATCCGTGGTCGTGTATTTTGGCGACAGTGCCGTCGAATGTCGAGTGACCACTTTAGGGGAACAAAACGTGGCATGAACAAAAAACTGTAGGAGAACAAAACTGCGCCTAAGTTCCCCTAAAGTTTCTACTGCAGGGGCCCCGCGCACAAAAAAATAAACAACACTTTAGGGGAACAAGCTGTAGGAGAACAAAACGTGGCATAAACAAAAAAACTCGGAGGTCCGCGCGGACCTCCGAGTTTTTATGTTGATGTCACTTGTTGTTCCCCTACACTTGAGTCCGCGATCAGTAGTCCTTCGAGCTTTCCAGTACAGTCGCGTGCTCCCGTGGCCACCAGTGGGCGGGTTCGTTCTGTCGACGTCTGAGGTGCGGACAGGGTCGGTCCCCGGGCGGCGCGGGGCGAGGAGTGGATGGGCTCTCGGCGCCAGGGTAACCACTCGTGAAACCCTCGCTCCAGGATGCTCAAAGTTCCTCGGCGGCGTTTGCGCGTGCCCACACCTCTCGGGGGAGAAAAAGATACGGATACGTGTTGTCCCCCGTCGTTTTCGGCCTTTCCTGGTCCTCCTGGGGAATCCTCGTTGTCACCGCTGGATTCGCTTCGAAATTCTGATCAGAACGCACCCCAAGAGAGGTCCGGGGACAACACGTATCCGTATCTTTCCGCCCCCCATGTTCTCCTTCTACTCAACCGCGCCAGCTGCCGCGAACACGGGCGCGGGAGAAAGACTTGCAACAGTGACCGTGGTCATGTGTTCCGTCGCCCGACGTATTGAATAGTTTGTGAGCTTGACCTCGAGGAGGCAGGAGTCGGGTGTCGCTAGAAGTGGCCCTGGCCCAAGGTGCCCCCAGGATTTCCAAGAAGCCCCCCACGGCCTCCAGAGCACCCATCACGAGACCCAGAGGGCCCCAGGGGCTCCAGAATTGAGCGGACAGCTGGGGGCCCCTTGGGCCAGGGGCACTGTTTTGGCAACCCCAGAGGCAGGGAGGGGGAGGAGGGGGGGGGGCATCGCACTGAGGCAGGCGTTCCCGACGGCTCACCGAGCGCGCCCCACTGCTCGCAAAGTGTCTACCCGCAACGTCGGACGAAAAAACACCTGTCTGCCCCGAGATGTCGTGGATCGTAGACCTCCGCGGCAGGCCCAGGCCGTGTGCGAGCAGCTCGTGTGCGAGCCGCGGGAGCGCGCCCGGTGCGCCGTCGGGACCGCGCGCCGCAGGGCGACGGCCGACGGCGGAAGCGGCCCGCTCTGCGCCGCGCCTCGCGCGCCGCGGGGCGGCGGCCGCCCGGAGGGGCCCGCCGGAGCCATGGGCGCGGCCAGGAGCAGCCTCTTCGCGTGCGCGTGCGGCCCCTCGGGCGGGGCCGCGGGGGGCGGCCCGCTGTGGTGCGCGTGCTGCGGCGGGGTGCTCGGCGGCGACCGGGGGGGCGCCCAAGCGTCGGAGCCGAGGGCGTGCGCCGATACAGCATCGATGAGCGGCGTTGTGCAAGAGCCAATGAGATGGAGTGGGAGGCTCCGCCCCGGGGGGAAGGGAGGAGGGGTGGGCCTTCTCAGAGGGCTCGGAAGCCCGCCCCGGCCTTCCGAGAAGTGGTCTGTAAGCCTGCCCCGAAGACACAGGAAGCCTTTCTCTGAAGGCGCGACGGCTTCTGAGAAGCCCCGCCGCCTTCTGTGAAGCGCGGCGAGGCGGCGCTGCTGGCACGCGCCCCGGGGCCAGAGAGCGGCCACCTGGAGCCTGCGAGGCCGCGAGGAAAGCTTGGGGCCCCGAGCCCTCGAAGCGAATGGTATGAAGCGAGTGCGGGCAATGCGTCTCACGAGCACGACGAGGACTCTGTGCGTTTTTCCCCCTCGCTCGCCGCCGAACTACACGCATTCGCCTGGGAGCCTGCGCCAGCCCCCCAGCCAGGCCGAGTCGGGGCCCGGAGTCGGCGCGTGTACGCCTTTGCCGCCCAGTCCAGCAGGCAGTGCACTCCGATCGGGGAAACGCAAGACTCGAGTGCGCTGGAACTCGGGTTTGCCGACGCTTTTTGACGAGCGCGCCCTGGATTGTGACGGTCCAGTTTTCGTGGGATATCTGCAGCGGGAGCTCGCGTCAAATTTCCGACTGGGTCTCGTCAGTTTCTTGGATGGCCCCGGCAGGCCAACCCAAGTCCCCGATCCCGAGTCTGACGTCTCCCCGATCGGGGAGCAAGGATGTTCATAATCATGAGCTTTGGGAGATTCGCGCGGGTGTCTCTCGGATCGGCGCCAGAGCCCCCTGGAGCGCCCCGAGCACCAGGCAGGGGTGTCCGGAGGATCCAAGAGAGCCGCGCGGACCTCCCACAGTGCATGCTTCCGTTGCCTGTCGATGCCCGAGATACGCATACGCCGATCCTGGGTCCAGGATCCGTGCAGTGGCCTCGGAGCGCCTCTCCACCGTGGCGAGGGCCCACCTTCGCAGCCCGAGCCGCTCTTCACGGCGGCCGCCCAAGGCCGTCCTCGTCGCCACGCCTTCCACCAGGCGGGCCTGGCCAGGACCAGCGCACGGCGGGCTGTTGGACGCCGCCCGTGCCCCAGAAACGGCCAACATTGAGTCGGGCCTGTCCCTCTACGGGAGGAATATTCAAAGATAGTCAAAAAATAGTCTGGGGACTATTTCTTGATTATTTTTGTTGCCCATTTTGGAGCATTGTTTTTGTTGATGTTCCTCCAAAATCCCCCTATGGGGGGACAGGCCCGACTTAAGGCCAACATGGAACGATCTGGCGATCAGGAAGCAGATGATTGCTCAAGGCTGAGCGATCCACGCGGCTTCAGAAAACAACGCCGGGGCCGTCACGGAACGAGGTTGCCGTACAGAAGGGACGCTGAAATCAGGACCGCTTCGGGTTCGGAAGGGGTTCGCTGTTCTCTGGGTCATTCCGTGACCGTTTCTCCAGCCTCCTCGTGCACCCGGGCATTTGTGGTGCCAAAAAGAGGGGCCCCGCTCTTGCCTCGGCTCTCCTGGTGAACGGTCTTCTTTTTTCTAGGCATCTGCTCGCTACGAGAACATGCTTCGAAGGTTGCGAAGTGGATTGGATGCCTTTCTCAGGGGGTGGTTTCGGTGGTCTGCCTTCGGCCTGGGGGTGGCCCAGCCTGGTGGACGGCGCGAGCTGTGCTGTCCCAGGCGACGCCGCATACTTGGTCGTCTCGCCCTCCGCCACATGAAAAACAAAGCATGCAAAGCCAAGTTGGGGGAAACATTGCTTTGATGGCTGCGAGCGGAGAGGGCGACAGTGGCGCCCACCCATCGGTGTCACTCCAACAAACTAATACGATGTGTGCGTCGCCCCCCCCAGGGGCGACGCGCGCACCGAGAAATCTTACAGTATCTGCGTTGTGGGGGATGTTTGCTGGCCACACCGCTCGGGAAACGACATACTACAATGTGTGTATGCTGTATATTCGAGTCAGACGCTCGCTTCCGAGGGGGACACCCTGTACTCGGAGGCGGCCAAGAGAGGGGTGATGCTTGGGGGGGATGTTATGGCGTGGGCCATGATATTTCTTCAGATTTCACGGCGCCTGTTCTTATTTCATTACGTCACTGCCCCCCCCCTCTGGGTCGCGCACATGCCGCCGGGCATGATTTGCGCCCCCCCTCTTGGACGCCCCCCTCTTAGGTGACCCCGATATATGTTCGGGTCGAACGCGCACCACCGTGTGCACTAGACGCTCGGACATCGCAAGGTGTTGGGGGGGCTTTTGCGCCCCCGGGTCGCGTCTCAGGGGCCCCGCGTGGTTGTGCTTCCATTGCCGACTAGAGGAAAGAAAAACAATGCTCGGGTCGAGCGCGCGCTGAGGAGGAGGAGGAGGAGGAGGAGGAGGAGGAGGAGGAGGAGGAGGAGGAGGAAGAGACGGAGGAGGAGGAGGAGGAGGAGGAGGAGGAGGAGGAGGAGAGGAGGAGGAGGAGGAGGAGGAGGAGGAGGAGGAGGAGAGGGGAGCGCACTGTACCACCCCAGGCGAGGCGTGGCCCGCGGGCGCGCCCGCGGGCGCCGCGGACGGCGGCGGCGCGCGGGCGGCCGGGGCCCTCGCGGGCGGGCGCTCCTGCCTGGCGCGCTGCTGGGCCGCCGCCGAGGGAGCGCCGCCGAGGGAGCGCCGCCGGCACGGCAAGGCGGCGGCGAGCCAGGGGGGGGGGGGATAAGACGACGCGAAGATCGGGACAGAATCGGATGGGGATAACTCGGAATCTCTGAGAATCGGCGGGTTTGGAGGATGTATTGGGCGCCGCGGCCGCTCCAGAGCGTTCCGGAAGGCTCTGAGAGCGCTCCGGAGCGCTCTGGAGCGATCTATCCCGATCCTAGCCCTGTTTGGGAGAAAATTTCGGAGGTTTCGGGTTCGAGGTTCGAGGTTTTCGGGCGTCGTCGCTGTCGCGTCTCGGCTAGTTTCCAGCCTCGGGATGTGATCCTGCAGCTGCGCCTCGTCGTCGCAAAAGGCCGCTGGAAGCCCGAGTTATGACCCAAAAGTTGCCAGCAGAGAGAGTGGGTCTTCTCAGAAGGCTCGGAACCGCCCCGGCTTTCCGAGAAGTTTTCTGTAAGCCTTCCCCAAAGACACACGAAGTCTTTCTTTGAAGGCGCGAGGGTTTCTGAGAAGTCCCGCCGCCCTCTGAGGATGCCTTCTCATTCTCACTCCCCCCCCCTCGCTCGCCGCCGAGAAGGGGAGGGGCCAGCCACGCGCAGAGGGTGGCACAGTCGGGCCGGGGTATAAGATCGATGTCGGTTCGGGGAGGGTTCCCTGATGTTCTTCGTGTTTGTTTGATGTTTTGGTGCATTTGGGGGGAGGGTAACCTCGAGAATGCACTTCGTGGTGGCCAGCGGAGAGCCTCGTGTTTTCGAAGGGTGTTCTCCTGTCCTAGGTTCGCCTGTAAGGAGAGGGGGGAAGGCTTCTCAGAACTTGGCATCGTTCGGACATGTGCACTTTCTCTCGGCGGGGACAATCGAGGAGCATTTTGGTTCACATTGCCAGGGCTCATCTCGACTCCTCCGATTCGATTCGATTTCGATCCGATTCGACTCGGGATTCCGATTTGGGCTCCGATTTCTCAACGGAGGCCTACTGGCCTGCCGATTTCCGCCGATTCGACTTTTTCCGACTCGGCTGCCGATTTCCGCCGATCCGATTCATTTCGATCGCCGATCCGACTTCTCGATTCGATTCTGGGCTCTCCTGCACTGCGGATAGAGACATGCACGAAGCCGGAAGATGCACAGGGCGTGGCCGTCCGAGCGATGGCGAGAGCAGCACCCCTGCTCCTTCGAAGGTGCGGGCCTTGCCTACAGATGCAAGGCCGGCGCCTTCTGCCCCTCCTGCCCACCTCCTGCGCGCCGCCTCCTCCTCCTCCTCCTCCTCCTCCTCCTCCTCCTCCTCCTCCTCCTCCTCCTCCTGCTCCTCCTCCTCCTCCTCCTCCTCCTCCTCCTCCTCCTCCTCCTCCTCCTCGGGGCGCGAAACCTGGTGCATGTGGCTGGTTCCCGCCCCGCTGCTGGGCCCTTCTTCGACGCATGGGCGCCTCCCCGCGCTCGGAGGCGCCCAGCTGCGCGAGCTAATTTTCTCTGCCCTGCCCTCTGCTATCCTGCCCCCTGGTCCGCCCCGGAAGGAGCCGAGGGCTGCCGGTGACCATGGGCTGCTGAACGGCGTGCTCGAGAAGATGTGGCCGGTCCGCCTTGTTCAAGCAGTGGTGAAGCGTCTTGGTTGGCCTATAGGCCAACCAGCAATGTTCTAAGAACCTTTTGGTGGTTTCCACGAAATGTTCTTAGAACATGTCTGGCAGGGACTGCTTTGTTTAAAGCATCGGGAATATGTTCTGAGAACATGGTTGTTGTTATTCGAACATGTCTGGGTTCTGCAAACACTTCATGGTAGGCCTGTAGGAATGCCGGGACGGTCGGTCCCTGCCCAACCTGGGGTGGCGAGATTTTTGGTGCGTGCACCTCCGAGGCCCTCAAAGAGCCCCAAGAGGGGCACGAAAGGTGCACGCTTCTTCGCCCCCACATGCATCCTGGATCACCCCAGCGTCCAAGCAACGCCCAAGACCTCCAGAGGCATATCTGTCTCGGGGAAAGGGCGCAGATGTTTGTTGGTTTGGGGCGCCTGGGGTTAAGTCGGGCCAGTCCCGCTACAGGAAAAATGTTCAAAAATGGACGAAAAACAAGTCGATGCTTTAATTTCTTTTAGTTATTTGGGTTTTGTTTGAGACTATTTTGAACTTTCCGTCCAAAATCCGCCTGTAGGGGGACATGCCCGACCCAAGCCTGGGGGAGAGTCACACGGCTGCCGCTCGATTTCGGTTTTGGTGACCTTTTTTCAGGCCGAGGCACTGTCGGAGACGGATCCGCGGAATGAAACTCTGCCCCCAGGGAACGGTTCGCGAGCTCTGGGCACGAGGATTGAGAAAACATGACCGTCGATGTCTTTCAGGAGGGAGAAAAAAAACACAGACACAATTAATCGTCGATTCCCCAAAAAATATGGGAAAATATGGGAAGTGGGGGGGAAGACAAAAACCCAGAAGATATAGGAAAACATGGGTGATAGTTTTATTTGTGTGTATTTATTTCTGTGTCCTGGGGCCCTTCAGTCTTGGATCAACCTAGTACCCCCCCCGCCCCTGGCGCGCGGAGCGCGCCAGGGGCGGCGGCAGGGCCCAGAGCCGGTCCAAGGAATCCGCGCGGATGTCCCTCGAATGCTAAATGTTAGGAAGTTGTTTCTCACTAAAGCGACGCGAAGATCGGGACAAAATCGGATGGGGATAACTCGGAATCTCTGAGAATTGGCGGGTTTGGAGGATGTATTGGGCGCCGCGGCCGCTCCAGAGCGTTCCGGAACGCTCTGAAAGCGCTCTGGAACGCTCTGGAGCGATTTATCCCAATCCTAGCCCTGTTTTAGTTAGATGTTATGAAGTTGTTTCTCACTCCACTGGGTACGCTTGGGTCGTGCGGGGGGCTCGAAGCACTTCGCGCGTCGCGGTCTGGGGTGGAGAGTTGCCCTTGTCCAGGAGGGGTCGGCGCGAGGGCGCGGAGGCGCGAAATCAGTCGTTCATCGCGGGGCGCGGTGGGCGAAGCCAGGTGACCCGGATGGTCAGGTCAGGCCAGGTCAGGTAGTCCTCGAAAGCTCTTCGGTGAGAAGAAGGATGGATGAGGAGAAACACGAGGGATGAGGTGAGAGAGGAGGCCCGGGAGGAGGAGGGAGGTATGGAGGCGAAGGAAGGGGGGGGGAGCGGGATCGCTGTCCTGCGAAACGGAACCAACAATCCCATTATCAGCACCAGACATGGCAACCGAATGAGCGCCTTCAAGCTCATCTTTTTTGGGCGGGAAGCCAAGAGCATTAGGCATTCGTGGTCGCAAATGTGCCGAGTTCCTAGAGGCAGCTGACGGAAGCCGAGGCGGACGGAGAGGAGGGCTAACATTTGGCCCCATGTTTGGCCCGCCGCATCCAATGCGAGCCGAACTCACGAAGGTCGTCGTCAGTGCTTCGGCCTCTCCAGTTTCACCATAATCAGGTAAGGTAAATGGACCTATGAAGGAGGGCAGTAGTGTTCTGAGCACAGCTGCGACACTGCTTCGCAAAGCGCCTGTGGGTACACATTCTTGGGCGCAGTGCGCCACGGTTTCAAGATCGGGCCCCAGCCCACAAGGGCTCCATGGGCCTCGTGTCCGCGTGAGCAAAATCCACCCCCGTGGGTAGCGTGCGAAAACCCCTGGCGCGCCGGCGACCGAATTCCCAATCGAGACGTCGACGCTTTACCTATTTGCTTGAATTCGCATTGGTCGAGTGTCGTGAGACTCGCGCAACGGGCCGCAATGAACACCTTGAGCGGCAGTAAACCCCAAGGCGGTGCACTCCTGGGCTCCCAGGTCGGGGGGTATCGGGGGTGGACAGAACCCTAACAGTGACACGTCGATTAGTGAATTGTCCGTTTTCGGTTCTCGGGAGGGCGCCGTGGCCGTCATTTTCCAGGCCTGCGCCCGCCAGGTTTGGGCCTCAGGTCGTTTTCACTAAACCACGTTTTACTAAAGGGGGGTCTGTCCATCCCCGAGGGTAGGGTTTCAATCCAGGCGCAACTTTGGCACAGTGCCACGGGTGCAACTCGACCATAGCCTGGAGCAGATCATCGCAAACCATAGCTTGTACTTGCTGCCGTGGAGTCGGGCTCGTCACCCCCAACGGGGCACGCCAACTCCTGGGAGGGGTCCCTCGCGCCACCGAGCTGCTGAAAACGTTTCGCACGGGGGCCCCGCCCGGGGCGACGATACGCCCTGTCCGAATATGAGCTGCAAAACTTGAGCAGAGGATGGTTGTTTCGCGGGCCGCCTATGTCAGCGTCCAAGAAGATGTCGACAGAAAAACGACCAGTTCAAGGTAAGGAGTGTATTCAACAAGCGGCGGCTCAATAACATATCGCGTCAAATGTCCTTCTTTTGGCCACAACACACGCTGGCCACGAAAACCTGACGGCGCAAAACGCGCCTGGGAAACCTTTTGTTTACGACCTTTCCCGAGAAAGTTGCGGCCACGAGAGACCATTCCATTTCCGCAGGCGAGGGGCCCTCAGCCACTTCAGGCTCATCCCGAGCGTTGGGCACAAGGGACTGACAAGACCATCCGGCGATGTGCAGAACTGTCTCACTGACGCACTGAATGGCCGCAGTCCGAGGATAGCTCACAGTCGCAGCCACAGCATTCAGGTCGAGGGGGACAGGAAAGGTGAAGGAGGGGAAGAGGCCCAAGGCCGAGTGGCCTTGTCGTCTACGCGCCGCGTCGCGGACTTCGGCGGTCAACTCGGCGCGATTTTCTCGCGGCAAAGGCGCAAACTGACGCAAGTAATGGACGAGACATGCCGGCCCCCGATTTGCGATGCGTCGACTGAGCATAGACCAATTGGCACCATGCTTCAAACAGCAAGCGCACATGGAAGTGTCAAGCTTCGCAATAGCAAGATCTGCGCAGGTGAAGCGTCCGCGCCGAATGCGAGCATCGGGCGAGCGTGAGTCTCGAAACTCTGCGGGACAGAAGTGGCAGTAGCACGTAGGCACCGACGAAGGAGGAGGTCGGTCGCGTCGAGGAGGGAGGCCATTAGCTTTCAGTTACGCCGGTTTCTTGCAACTTCGACGCCTGCACGTCTCTCTGGAACGAGACGCCGACGCTTGGGCGGCAGCGCTGACAGCGCGCTTCCAGCGACTTTTGAATCTCAGAACATTAGGGCGCAACGCCAGCACTCAGGAACGGGAAATCTTTCAATCTATGATGAGCGCTTCGCAGCCACGCTAGATCGCCCCAAGTGTCGCGCAGCCAGGATGACTTCGAACCATTGAATTCATCGTGCAACAGTGCGACGAGGAGGAGGAGGCGCTGAAGTCAGGACCTGCCCAACCAACCTAAGCCGAGAGACCCGCGTCACAGCGCCGACTGTAGGCCTCGCCGCCATGGCCAGAATTGCAAGATCGGTCGACCTTCCAGCTTCGAATCTAAGCAATCCGTGGAGGCCCCATCCCGGGGCGAAAGGGGGCGCCGCGCGACGCGCAGCGGCGCGGGGCGAACGCGAGAGGGGCGCGCCGCGCGCGCTCGGCTGGGCGGGCGCCCCGCCGCGCTCGGCGAGGGGCACCCGCGGCGCGGCTTTGGCGCCGCCCACCGCGGCCGCGCGCGCGGGCGCTATCGCGCGGCTGCCCATGCGACGCGCGCGGGCACGTTGCACGCGCGAGGCGCGCGCCAGCCTTTGGGCGGCGCGCTCTGCCCGTTCGCGGCACTCTGCGCGCGCGAGGCGCGCGCCCTCAGGCTCATTGGCGGCCGCAACTCCGCGCGCGCTCGGCGCGCCTCTTCCCAGCGCGGCACCGTCTGCCCGCGCGTGACCTATTTGCAAGTGCGAGGCGAACGCTCTCGGCTCATAGGCGGCAGCAAGTCCGCGCGCGCGAGGCGCTCCTCTGCCCCTCCGCGGCGCGCGCGCGGCGCGCGCCTGCCCTGCCGCGGCACTCTCTGCCCGGTAGCACCTTGCACGTGAGACGCGTGTCCTCGGCTCACTGGCGGCCGCTCCCATGGGCGGCAGAGGTGGACGAATGTGAGGAGAACCGCGTACCACTCGCGCTCTTCCTCGGCGAAGTCCCCCGCGGCTTCCGTCATCCGAATGGAGGCTGCCAACACTGTCATCTCTGCCCTCCTGCGGGAGATGTAGCTCTTCCTTCCCTTCTCTGACGCTAAGCCTGCCGGCAACGGAGAACAGCGAGGATGATACATAGTTTGAGTTGGGAGTGCAGGCATGATGTCCGATGGGGTATTCGGACTGCTGGTAGACTCTGCTGTCTCTTAGGCGATCGACACAGAAGGAGACCTGCGCCTGGCTCCAAGCTAACGATCCTGGGACGACGGTCTTCTCAGTGACTTGGCATCGCTCGGACGTGTGCATTTCTTTCTCGGCGAGAACCATCGAGAACCATCCTGGACCATCGAGCAAAAAAAAACACGCACGACACCGAAAAATGCACAGGAAATGGACGTCCGAGCGATGGCGAGGTGAAGCCCTCTCCCAGGGGTCTGACGTGCCTTGTGAGGCTGCACTCCCAGAGGCCGATGTCCTGGTAGCATTATGCCGGGCGTGTCCCCCGACAGTTGGATTTCGACGAAAAATATAAAGTACTCAAAAAATCATCAAAAAGGTCAAGAAATGCTCAAAACATAGTCCCCATATTGTTTGTTTGATTATGGTTTGCTTGTCTTGGGGGTATTCTTCATTTTCCGTCGAAAATCCCCCTGTAGGGGGACAGGCCCGACTTAACGGTAGCAGGGTGACCTCGAGGCACTTACTGAGCATCCTGCGCAGGCATACACGAACGACAGGAGGATCTAGCGGCGAAATTGCCTGTTCCACCACATCTCCCGATTCCAACTGTCGGCGTGGGACAGACGCTGCTGTTGGGCAGAATGATGTCTCGAGAGTCTATCCTTACGCTGGGCCTGTCCCTCTACAGGAGGGAATATTCCAAAATAGTCAAAGAATAGTCCAGGGACGATGTTTTGATTTCTTGTTGGTTTTTGTTGCTATTGTTTGGCTACTATTTAATTTGTCGTCCAAAGTCCGCCTGTGGACGGGGACATGCCCGACCTAAGTCTATCCCGTGCTGCAGCCACGCGGAGCAAGACCCTGTCGCCTGCTCGTGTTTGCCGCTGGCGCCGCGGCTGGCCACCGTTGGGGCCGGTGGCAGGCGCGCGGGGCCCGCGAATCTGGCCGAGAGAAGGCAAAACTGCCAGGAACGAAACCAGCCGACAGGAAATGCCTCCAGCGGCCTAGGCCTTGTGACCCAGAGGAGGAGGAGCAGGAGGAGGAGGAGGAGGAGCAGGAAGAAGAGGAGGAGAAAGAGGAGAAAGAGGAGGAGGAGAAAGAAGAGGAGGAGGAGGAGAAGGAGAAAGAGGAGGAGGAGGGGGAGGAGGGGGAGGAAGGCGACGAGGACGAGCGGGTTCTCCTCCTCACCTTGTCGCCACGACGACGAGGACGGGGAGGACTCTGGGGAGGACGACGGATCGTCCCCCGGAGGACGACCAGTTCATCTTGAACGATCTCTTGCGCGACGAGTTCTTCCGGAAGAACGTTTTTCCGGAAGAGTTCGTTTGGATGCACGTTCTTCGGATGAATTCGTCCGGATGGATCCGTCTGCGGATGATGTCGTCTCTTCGGTGGAATTCGTCTTCGGATGCGTTCGTCCAGAGGAAGCTGTCCGGACGAATTCGTCCAGATAATGTCGGTCCGGATGAGCTCGCCAGGATGAAACGGTTCCGGATGAAACAGCAGGTTTCTTGGAGGGCCCCCGGGAGATCGCGAGCTATTCCCCCTCCTCCTTTCTCCTCCTCCTCCTCCTCCTCGTCCTCCTCCCTCCTCCCCCCTCCCCCAGGTCTTCTCCAAGATGGTGTCCAACCTGCTCTTCGACGAGGTGGAGCCGAAGCTGCAGAGGGCGGTCGGGCACAGCGTGGCGTTCGACAGGAGCAGCGGCCTCGGGGCGGTGCCCCTGCAGTTCGGTTCCCAGGAGGTGGCCAGACAGAGGACTTGAACGTTATGTGGCATCCAATGATTAAGCTTAAGTCGGGCCTGTCCCTCTACAGGAGGAATTATCCCAATGCGACCCTACCTAGTAGTTGGAGCATCTAGGAAAGCAACATCTACATCTACACCGGCTGTGCGTTGCTTGTGATTTGCTTTGTTGTTGCTGCTGTTGCGTTGCCTTTGCTTTGTTGCTATGTTATGATATGATATGCTATGCTGCGCTATGATATGCTATGCTATGTTTTGCTATGCTGTGTTATACTGCGCTGTGCTATGCTATGCTATGCTAGGGTACGCTCGGCTGCGCTATGCTAGGCTATGCTATGATATGCTATGCTGCGCTATGCTATTATATGGTATGCTGCGCTATGCTAGGCTGTGCTGCGCTATGTTATGCTGCGCTATGCTATGATATGCTAGGCTAGGCTATGCTATGCTATGATATGCTGCGCCATGCTATGATATGGTATACTGTGCTGCGCTATGCTATGGTATGCTATGTTATGCTATGCTGCGCTGTGCTATGCTAAGGTATGCTATGCTATGATATGCAGCGCTATGCTATGCTATGCTGTGCTATGCTGCGCTAGGCTATGCTGCGTCTATGCTATGCCATGCTATGATAATGCTGCGTTATAAGCTAAGCTGAGCTAAGCTAAGCAAAGTTAGGCTAGGCTAGGCCAAGCTAAGCTGAGCTAGGCTAGGCTAAGCTAAGCTAAGCTAGGCTATGCCAAGATGAGATAAGCAAAACTAAGCTCAGGGGACGTAACCAGGGGGAACCGCGGGGCGGATGCCGGGGGAACCGCCCGGGGCACTTTGCACTGCCGGACCCCTTTAAGCACAGAGGGTAAGAACCCTTCTAGGCAGAGCCTAGGTAGGGAATAATCAAAGATAGTAAAACATAGTATTGGGACGATGCTTGGAGTATGTTCGATGATGTTTGGAGTATGTTTGGCGTATGTTTTTATTTGTCGATCAAAATCCGCCTGTAGGGGGACATGCCCGACCTAACATTAAGCATAGTGCACCCCTTGAGTTCGTGCCCAGCAGTCAACGCGCCTGGTAAGGACGCGCGCCTTCGTCTAGGGTACCCTTGTGTCCTTGCCACTGCGGCCCGTCCTTTGCCGCTTTCACTGGTCGCCCGCTACCCAGAAAATCCCAGCTTCGGCCTCCAAAGGTCTTGCGTCCTTGCCACCCGTCCTTGATACCCGTTTTGGCTGTACCGTAGGCCCACGGTTTTTTAGGGAGATCCCTAAACATATGAGTGGTTTCGTCTGACGTATCTGCAAAAGGACAATTGCGAAGGCTTCCCAGGATCATTATCCGATCCAGTCAATCAGCCGATCAGACGCCAGCCAGCCGATCAGCCAATCAGTCTGATCGGCCGATCAGATGATCGGTTGATCGGCTAGCTGGCAACTGATCGGCTGGTTGGGGCATGATCGGCTTATCGGCTGGCTGGGGCTTGATCGGCTGATCTATCACAATCGGCCGTTCGCGGTCAGATTGTGGGGATACCTCGAGCGAGGCGCCCGTTTGGCTTCACTGGCTCCTTAGTTTCCAGAACAGACTGCGAGGGTAGCACCCCAAGGTGAAGCTGCCAGGGTCTATTCAGCTCGCCCGTTCGCGGCAAGATTGCGGATATTTCCCGGCCGAGGCGCTCGATTGGCATCCCCGACCCCTCTGCATTCAGAGCCCCGAGACCACCACGATGCAGCAGGCTAAGAATCTCTCACGCAGTCACTCACGGGAAACAGAAGTCCCGAATCCCGGAAACAGAAATCCCGTAAATCGGAGACAGGGGGGAGAGAGACGGGGGGGAAATTTTGGAGTTGGGGGCTCAGGGAAGACAGAAGCCCCACTATAATACAGGACTGGTGGAGGACGGACGCTATTGGCGAGTGTAGATTGGCATCGGTCGTTGCCTCAGTCGTCGCATGGAACGTTTCTTGCGAGGCATCGGTCGTTGCGTCTGCGGCGTAGTACAGCGGAGCCGTTTCAATTGTTGTCGTGTTGTACTGCGCATCTTGAGCTGTGTGGTATACTTTGGATGCCTGACCCGATGTTGCCCCAGCCTGCGAAGCGACGGCCGCATCGCAGCCGCTGCTATATTGCGACCTCACAGCACCTCGCGTCAATACGCAACGATAGTGCGGGATGGGATTTGTTATGTGTGTCTGGGGCGACCGTTGAGGTGGCGTGCCGCCTGTCCTGCCCGCCTCTTCCGTCTGTTTTCCCCCTCCAGATATCCCACTTCTCCCCGGCACTGCATCACCCTACCAGGGCTCGTTTCGATTCATCCGATTCGATTCGATTCGATTCCGATGGTTTCCAATTCCGATTCGATTCGACTTGGGTTTCCGATTTGGGCTCCGATTTCTTATTGGAGGCATACTAGCCTGCCGATTTCTGTCGATTCGACTTTTCCCGACTCGGCTGCCGATTTCCGCCGATCCGATTCATTTCGATCGCCGATCCGACTTGTCGATTCGATTCTGGGCTCTCCTGCCCTACCCTGTCCTTCCTATCAAGCAGCCAGGGGTTGTAAAGCTCCCCACATTGCCCCGGCAGTTTCCTTTCGACGCCACGTTTGTTTTTTGACGCCCAGGGCCATGTGGGAATGTCCGGTATTTGGTGTCGGCAGTCTGGTCGACCCTGTCGCACGTTGCAGTCCTGCTTCTTCGGTGTCGCACCTGTGTATGTGTATGCATCTGTGTATCATGATGATGATGATGACGACGACGACCACGACGACGACGACGACCACGACGACGATGACGACGACGACGACGACGACGAACGCTGATGATGGTGGTTGTGGTGATACTGATGGTGGTGATGATGATGGTGATGGTGATGGTGATGGTGATGTTGGTGGTGATGATGATGGTGTTGATGGTGATGGTAATGCTGATGGTGGTGTTGATGGTGACGAGGATGATGGCAATGCTGATGACGATAATAATAATGATAATAATAATCATAAGAATGACGATGTTGATGCTGATGCTGATGCTGATGCTGATGGTTGATGGTGTTGGTGGTGGTGGTGATGGTGATGATGCTGATGCTGATGCTGATTCTGATACTGATGACGACGATGATGACGCTGCTGCTGTAGTTGATGATCTTGGTGGTGATGATGCTGATGATGACAATAGAGCGGGCTCAGTTTGCAGCTGGGGCAGAGAGGGTCTCCATGGCGTTTCCGTTGTCTCTCTGTGCTCAGGCATTTGCAGCCCACGCCCGAATCCATGCTTGTCACCCCGCTGTGGGGGCCAGCGACCAACCTCTGTCTGATTGGGCTGCGGCTGGTCCTGGTGCCGACGCGGCCGAGGCGCCAGAGCGAGCCGAGGCCGCCTTCGAGGGAGCTGCGAGGAGGCGGCTTTACGGCTCGGCCCGCCCGAGGCCTGGGTCGCCGAGATCGGCCAGCTGATCCACGCTTTGGTCGGCGGCCGAGCGGAGTACTGCAGTCCAGGCGGCCGAGCCGTCGGGGTGGCAGAGTGGTGCGATAGGCCAGGCTGCGATAGACCAGGCCAGGGAGCTGCCCCTCTCCGGGTGGCCTCGCGACGGCGCGCAGAGACCTGCGTGTCGCGGAGGCCGGGATGTGTCCACAAGCACCGATCTTCAGGAGCTCAACGACATGGTTTCGACGAAAAAAAAAAAAAAAATGGTGCGATAGGCTGGCGGGTGGATTGCCTTTGGTTGTGTTCTACACCGAGGATCCCGAGCACTGGCACGAGCGTGTAGTGCTGCGGCCAGGGTTTGGCGACCCCAACGCGAGGCTCTGGTTCGTGTGCACGCCCGACGGCGACCCCCACGTTGAGGCCATCGCGGCGGGTCTAGGTTGAGGCAGCCGCTTTGCCTTTGTTGACGGCGCTGGCGGCAACCCGGTCATCCAAGCGAGGACGCTGTATGCTATCAAGCCGTGGCCGGCCGTTGACGACCTCAGGGAGTCGATGGACGAGCCCATGGGAGAGGCAATTGGTGCCGGCATGTGTGGTTCCATTTTCCGCCGGATTGAAGTATATCCAACGCGACGGTCAGGAGGTGCCAGTCAGTGACTTCTTGGCGCACCCAGCCGAGCCGGAGCTGGGCGCGCTGGGGGCGGTGGCCGACAGTGGCGGGCACGACGGGCCGCCTGAGCCACACCTAGTCGACTTGCGCGTCCGGGGCACCGTCACCCCGCCATATCCTCATAGGTTCGTGCCAGGTCAGGTCTGGTGAGTCTCGAGGCGGTGGCCGAGGAGATCATTCGCGATGATGAGGTGAGGCTCGACGAGACGGCACTCGTCGGCGATGACAGGGCGGCCCACACCCTGCCCAGTGGCGAGCGCGTTGCGGCGAGGCTCATGGAGCTGCCTGTGGATCCGCTGGTGAACAAGGGGGACCTCGGGGACCCGCAGACGCTGGGACCTCTGCGGTGTGACTCGCACGGTCAGCAGCATCTCGACTACCGCACCGACGCGCTGGAGCTGCGCGAAGAGGCCCTCGACAGCTTCCTTTTGAAGGGAGGTCGCTCTTTTCTACGGCGTCAGCATTGCACCACCGAGCACGGTGGCACGCCCACTGGTTGCCCCACCAAGCACCTCACCGATGAGTCGCCCCAGGCAGAAAGCTCTTCGAGCCACCTCCACGACCTCCCGGGTCTGTCCGCGTTCTTGAGGCACGATCAGGTTGATTGCGCGCACTTGGCTTGCATGGAAATTGTTGCCATAGCGCGCCAGCTTGTCGATGAGACGACAGGCCCCATGCGGTCCGAGGGCCTCGAGTATAACATCTGACGGGAGCAGGGTCGCGCCGCGCGGCGCAGCTTCGCCACGGCGCCTTCGCTGACGCGGCGCGCCGCTGACCAGCCAAGGACGTCGGGTTCGCCGCGCAGCGCCGCAAGTTCCGGGAGGAGCAGGCGGGGCGCGGGCGGCCGCGCAATTACAAGCAAAGAAAAAACTAAGCCAATAATATGGACAGCTCGCCACCGCGGCGATCTTCACAGGGGCCGCGCGCGGC